TTCACACGCCGCGATTGCCGCGATCGGCGCGATTGCCGATCGTGGCGCGGCGGAGGCGATCATGACGGCGGCGTGAGAGCGGCGCCGATGACTTGCGGTGAAGTGTGTGAGGGCAGCGCGCCTCCGCGCCGCGGGGAGCGCCCCCTGCGGGGCCGCGGTGGCTGGCAGAGGGAGCCCACCGCCGGCTCCTGTCAGCTGGCCGAGAGAGATGGCCATTTGTGGAAGCCCGTCTGGGAAGCGGATCGGTCGTCAGCAGCACACGCAGTGCGGCGCGAACACTAATGGGCCACCGGCCAGCAGTGCGGAATCAGAAGCCCAGAAAATGTTGTTACACATGTTATAAAAGTTGTACCGTCTATCAACTGTTCCTGCAGTCAGATTGTAAAGGGGGAACGGCACCTAGAAAGAATCACTGATCGGTAGGATGTTTGGTAACAGGGCTGCTGGCTGCTGCAACTAACTATATACCCTGATCCTTGAGCGAGTATACCCACACAGTGCCCAGACTGAGCTGGCCGGCCTCATTGTATGTGAACTGCACGCCTGAGTGAGTGTCGTGTGAATTTCGATTTGACACGACAGCTCTGTACTCGGCAGAATTGATGCGGTGGGCGGCGTTCAGCAGTGTTCCGTGTCAGTGACGTCTGTTTCACTTGCTTAGCCGGGTGAAACTGGTCTTAGTGGCTGTGTGCGACCGTCGCTAGCTAGTGGATAGTGTCTGCAGCCTGCCTCACCGTCTTATGAAAAAGAAGCTAAATATGTAATCAAACGTTGCGATGTGTTACGCTATCGCAATAATGAGCATGCAGACACGCACTGAATAATGAAAAGCAGCGTCATTGGTGACCGGACTGACCTTTGGAATTAGCATTTCTGGCTTGGCGTAATTCTGTAGGGGAGAGTGGGGCAAAGCGGCCACCCTAACGTTTCTAACGATGCCGACGCTTGATTTTTAAACTTGGAAAGATTCTTTCTATACCAATGTGATCCCTATTAAATTGTCTTTTATTCCAACTGCGTTTCATTTCCAAAGGCGTTCACATATGGGAGATATTGACAAAACTTTAAACCTATAGCATATTGGCCACTTTGCCCCATCCCTGAGGCAAAGCGGCCACTGGCGACTTCTCAAGTCCCGATATGAGAAACAGAATAGTTGCCTCATGCACGACTAGGGTATTTGATGGTGACAAGGTTTAAAGGAAGATGGATGTTTACTTTGTTATCTTCCCACCTATTGCTAAACAAAGAAAGAATTTTCTTGGAAAAACATTTAATTGCATAATTTGGTAACTCATGTAACCGAAAAGTGGCCAAGATGAATGCATGACGACACATTTGAATATAAATAATGTTTTTATCCAGATGGAAACAACTTATGGCCAATTGGGGGCTGGCCACTTTGCCCCGGCCGCTTTGCCCCGCGCATACCGTCCGAGACAAAAATATTCCAGCTCAGCTATTAGTGGGGTAAAAAGCATTTAACTTGGTAGAAGGCATGTACGATAACCACGCAATGCATGGACAAAAACGCTTATAAAAATTCCAAACGGTTATGGAATAAAATAACATTTAAAAATTGTAAACATAATTGGTAACCTGGCAAGAAATGCCTTTCCGTGTTTCACAGAACAATGGCGATGGGCCTGAAACCCCGGTCTGGCTCATTCGAACGACCGCAAAGAGAAGTATAATTGGAAATCATAAATTGGAACTGACGCCAGCTGTGGAGGGCTAAAACGATGGATGGCCGCTTTGCCCCGGGTGGCCGCTTTGCCCCACTCTCCCCTATTAAAATACGGTGGATAAGAGCCAATAAAAAGAAGTAATCATTTATCCACAAATGCTTAATAAAATATTCATAGCACAATGCTTGCCACAATGACAGAAGTGTTGAGTGAGCACAGCCGGAGAACAGATCGGAGAGCAGCTCCATCCACAGCTGCAGTTCTCGTCCCTTCCATGGGACCTTCATCCAGTCCGGTGACACCTCGCCGGGACCATCTGTGCCCGCATCTCGGCCCGTCTCCTTCCCACACCTCCTCCCCGTCCCGTCCGCTCCCCGTGACCCGCCCTGACCGCGGCCGGCCCAACATCCATCGTCGCATCGGCTCCTCCCGGCCGCATACAGATCGACGCCAATGAGCGGGCGGCGCGGGCGCGACGAAAAGCGCGCGCCGGTAAAAACGCGCGCGCGGAGGTGCTCGCTGGACGGGGTAATGCGTTTGTGATGTCGCCACAGCGCGCCGCGCGGCGCCGGACGTGTCCCGTCCGATATATGGGTTAATTATCGGCTGTGACCGGCCGCCGCCGATCGGAAATCGGCGCACCGCCTTTTGAGCGCGCCGCGATCGTCGCAGATAGTCGCCGTTCGTATCGGCGCCGCGCGGCAAAAAGGCGCGCGTCGCCTGGCGCGCCCGCTTAGCGCGAGCAGCGTCGGCGGCGATTTACGGCGCGGCTGACGAGCGCGGCGCAGAGAGGCAGACGTGGCGCGGACAGAGGCGGACAAGGGGCGGGAGCACTCAGGGAGCTCCAGAATCAAGATGCCTAAGATGCAAAGCAATGTGTGTGAATGTTCGAGCAAAAGACGTGGGTGTTCGAGCAAGAAACGTGGGTGTTCGAACAAAACACTGTGTTCGAGAAAAAGACGTGCGTGCCATTCAAGCGACAGACGTGAGCGTGCAAACCAAAATGAAAGACATGACTGTTTGGACAAAGCTTTGTGTTCGAGTAAAAGACGCGAATGTCCCATATCCCTCGATGGCCCATTGTTCTCCTAGACAGTTCTTCCTGAACACAGTCTGGCTGTCTTCTCAGATTCATGCAGTAGGTATGGAGAGTAAGAGGCCGGACCTCTCTGAATCACCGTATATTCTGGAGAGCAATTGTTTACTTTTGCGTGTAGCTAATATGGCATAGGTATATGGAACATCTCAGTTGTCTGGAACTACTGCTTTGGTGAAAATGTTCACTTCATCTTATTACGTTTTATAAACGTATAAACGTTTTACAGTATGGATGGACTATGGAGTATCTAACGTCTTACCTAATAAATTTCATATTTTGATTGGGAAGATCCGGAAACGTTTCATAGCATACGGTTGAAAGCTCTATCAGCCTGACGTCGGGAAATAAATAAGTGTTTATATTACGAGATCGATATCGAGCGTCGGGTTAAAGCAAAGGCATTAATAAATGTCAGCTTAGGCCGCACCTCTCCTGAACTGGCCTTGGGTATCTCAAGCATACGATGCACGAGCTGATTTCGGAGGTTACGCCGCGTCACGCGGATGGGGGCGGTAGAGTCACACATCCGCACTTCAGCCCAAAGCTACATCAGATGAAGACGACATTTGTATTTGCATTGTGCGATTGGCACACATGTGCCGTTCGATCTGTAAAAACAATGAACAGCTTTAGGCCGTTCGTTCAATAAATGTTGCGTGGGGTTCAGATATCATTCAACTGCATGCAAAAGCCCGACACTGACCGGCGAGTACTGAGCAGAGGCAACTAACTCATGGGAGTGACAAAGCCGACTGGAGACTGCAACAGTAGTGTTAGACGCACACTTCTAGTTATACTGTGCCGCCGGCATCGGGTCCATGCGGCACAGCCTACCAAGCTAGTGAACATGCGTCAGTCAACCTTGAATTACATTTCTTGCGGAGATGCGTCATCTGCGTTACGACTCATCCGATCGGTTTCCTTTGTCCTTGGTATAATTTTCGCATCTATTCAATAGGCAATCGTATGCAATGGGTAATTCGTTGGTGGTGTGCTGAGGCTCAGCTCCGGTGGATAGACTCGTTCTCACGGCTCATCCCACCGCGGGCCAAACAGCAGTTCAAAGGGTCCCATCGGAAGAGGGGGGGGGGGGGTTCAGTTTGGAGCTGTCCTCTGCTGGCTGTCCTGTGGGGTGACCGTTCTCCCGGAACAGGAAAGTATGGGCTGTGGTCGATGGCACGGATAGAACTCGGTAGGTACTGGGGCTAGTGAAGACGGATGCATATGATTATTGTCCCGTTTACTATGGAGCGTGAGCAAATGAGCGGAAATCATCTAGCACAGCACCTCTAAATAAACCGTCGGAGTTTGATTTGCCTGTATGTAGATTTGGCAACTATAAAAGTGGATATGATACCCTGTAATACCCCCAGCCAGATGATGGCCCTAACCACAGTCGTCTGGTAGAGAAGGCCGCAAGCCGGACAAAGTATTGCTAGCAAGGATGCAGATGGGTCAGTCATGAGGATGGCGTGGCCTGATACGGTGATTAAAAATCAATTCCAAATTTATTACATCGAGTGACGGAGCAACTCAAACACGAGCTCTCATCACAGATATTACCTTATTTACCAACTGAGGTAAGGGACGATTGGCGTTTTAAAGTCGCCCTGGCACGGTAGACACAATCGGATTCGGAACCCTCGGTCTGGTCACAAAAAAATGAAGCGTGTGTTTCACTCTCGTCATCATTGTATTCAACGAACGTATTATTCGTATGGACACAAGCATTAGAGCATTTAGCACCGACAGGCATCGGTGGTACTTCGTGGCATTGCTGAGAAACATTAGTTAGATGATTGGCCAGTAGGTGGTGGCGTCACGCCGAACCGTTGCATTTACAAGACGGCAACTTGAACGGTACCATATGCAAAGAGCATGTTTGAAGTCTAAGCAGTATTGGCGTGACTTTATCAAAAGCGAGATTTTTAACGTTTCGAATAAAATAGAGCCAATCACAAAACCATAGCCTGAGCTCTGAGGCCGTGTGCCCTTCCAGATTGCAGACCCGTACCAAGCGCAGCGGCCGTCTTACAAGGTCAATAAAGAAGAACTGCGGCCGTATGGAGTTGGACACGCAAATCGCAGAAGAATTGGCATACATCTAGTATAAAGGGTAACGAATAAACAAACGCTAGACCTAGCATACGTAAAGGTTTATGGAAAAGCGAAACCGAACAGAACAGCACCTTCAGGAGATAGAAACACATAAATCAACAAACACCATTTTTTTACAATGCAAAACTTTTCGGTCACAGCGAATCCGCAAAACACTCAATCGTCGGTGTTACTTTTCAAATAACACAACAGATGACCGAACTATACACAGGTCACAGATACGTCACAGCTTCCATCTAATAAATAAATAACAAGGACAGCCGGTTCGCCGCCGGTGATACAGGCAGCAGGTCAGAACCACGAGAGCAGCATCCAATGCTAAATCACCAAACAGTCGGGGGGGGGGGGGGGGTCAGCAAACAACTACGAGCATTACAAAGCAGGCAGGCATCCGCATGCGCTAAAGTAATGCGAGACTCTCCAGGGGACAGCTACCATAGTCGAGGGTGTACCAATAACGTAAGGCAAGCCAGCAGCCAAAGCTGGATAGTTTTGCTGAGATAACTGTCTAGTAATTAGCAGCCGAAAAGAAGTCAATGACTAGCCCATCAGAATCCAAGCAGCAGTATTATAGCAGTCAATGAACAGTCTCGTCAGTCCGTGGAAAGGACCCAGTTACCAGCGTTTGCTGCCTTATCAGAAAGACTTATATCGGGGTTCACAATATATCGTCAAACAGCTCCGATTCACAGAGCTACCTACCACATTATCACCAACCCCGCAAATAGGGCGTAATATCCGCTGAATACAGTCCCACGACCATTCGTTCTTCCTTCTCGTCACTTCTCTTTCCTCACATCACATCTCACCGTAGCCGAGCTCACCCCATTCACTCTGAGCTCATCTCGGCTAATTTACCATATCGCTGCAGTGCAGTCCAGAGACAGCTCCCTGCACTCTCTGTTCACATACCACCACCGTCTTTTCACCTAGACCACCCTAGTTTTTACCGCCTTCACGTGCCGGTATCCTCAATGACGACAGACAGTCCCACCTCTCCCAGCTCCGGGTCGTCCGCGCCGCCCTCGGCCGGTGACACGGCCAGGCCGGGAGAGTTACCCTCGCTCTCCACTACCAGGGTACTGGTACAGCCGACCAGGTGCAGGTCGTACGGGCCGTCAGTTTCCTGTGGAACGGGGGAGAGGCATACTGGAGAGTGTTCCGAAGACGGGGGGGGGGGGGGGTGCTCGCTTAGGGGGTATATGGGTTACAGCAAGGTCCTAAGGATCCAAGATAACACACGACTTACACACTGTGAGAAATCTCACTTTCAACAAATCCTTCACACACCAAATGTTCGAAGATGGGAATGCATTCCATAACATTCTCTGTCACCTTTGCCTTCTGTATCAGACTTTCATGTTCCTCCATGCTTTCTTAGCCCTCAACACACTCGCCCAACCCTCATCTACCCTCCCACCCCTTCTCTCCCACTTCCCCATCCTCTAGATTCCCCTCCTCTCACCTCCCCCTGGTCTCCGTCAGAGGGCAGCACCAGCACCTGAGCCGTGTCGCCCTCAATGCCCAGAGAGCGGACATCCACGTCGGTTAGGAGCAGTTGGATCCGCTGAGGACTCTCTTCGGCAGCGGACGGCGACGGCGCCGTGTCATCCTGATCGGGAGAGAGGAGGAGGGCTTAGAGGGGGAATAGAGGGCGAGCACGGAGGTCAGTGAACAACTGGTAGCCTTTATTTTTGACAGTCGACGGATGCGAGGGGTTATCAGAAGTCACGCCGTGGACAAAAATGTCGCTAATCGAGATTTATCGCTACCATACGATGTGCAATAATGAGCGTCCTGCAACGCTTATTTGTACGAATAACATCTACGTAATTAAATAATAGAAGCTTAATTGTACTGTGCACTGACGAGTATGACCGACGTCGATATAAATTGAAGACGATTAAAATCGCTGGACATAACGTTTCAAGCGCCGTATTCACAGTTGAGCTCCCTTGATCATTTGCTCCACTGTCCACCACTACATCTCCACTCTCCTCTATCCCCTCCCCCACTCTCCCCCACCCTCCCCGTCTCTCTCACCGCCGGGGTCTGCGCCGCCGCCTCTCCGTTGACCCAGTTGTGGTCCCGCCGCTGGTGCGCCTGATACATGGTGATGTTGCGGAACACCCGTTTGCACATTTCGCACGTATAGGTTATCCGCGGAGTATGCACCAGCTGGTGTTTGTGAAGGGTCGAGTACTCGGCGAAACTCTTCCCGCAGCCCTGTGAAAGAGGGGGAGAGGATGGCAGAGTGTGGTGTGAAAGGGTGAAAGAAGCGGCATGGGTGACAAATATGCAGTAGACATGGCGACCTGACGGACATGGCCAAACAACGGTAAAGTTATTGCGAAGCCAAGAACACAACCAAACCAATTCGTAATAAAAGTGCAAGGCCTTGACAATTAACAGAGCCTTTGCGTCAATCATCTACCTTGGCATGGAGCGCCAGCTTTTACAGCTTTTAGCTTTTCTGCCTTGGCACTTAGTATCTACGTCCTTCGCATCACCATCGACACTAGCATCTACTACGCTAATGTCAGACCAAATGCTCCACCCTTCCCGGTGTCGGAGGCGGCGCAGCTACTCACGGGATGTTTACATTGGAACGGCTTCTCTCCCGTGTGTACCCGCCGGTGGTTGGCCAGGTTCGTCTGAGACTTGAACGTGCGCTGGCAGTTCTCATAATCGCAAACGTACGGACGCTCGCCTGGCAAGACACGCAAATGATCGACGATTAAAATATAACACTGCAAGATAATACAAGGGTAAAGTCACAGACTATGAGATATTGTGATCCAAGATAACACTAGTGAACTAGAGACGGAACATTGAGTATGTTTCCTCGCTATACCTATGATACACGGAGAACCAGCTGTACCCGACAAACTAGCAAAACGTAGTGAAATAGCCCGGTTGATGAAATGCGTAAGTTGAAACACTAGCACATATCACACAACCATGTCCGTTGCTCGCTCATGCATAGCAGCTCACCTGTATGCGATCTCATATGGACCTTCCGGATATCGGATGTCGAGAAACTCTTGAAGCAGCCGCGAAACGTACACGCGTACGGCTTGTCACCTTGGAAGATGAGAAGATCGTTAAAACAGCCGTCATTTAACGACATTAAATGAAAACCTTTTGAGGTGTTAACCGAAATGATGCGCAACAAAGCGTCATGCACACATATCAAAGCCAGGAGATGTACATTTTATAATTCAAACGGCAAAACCGCGATAGTTAAAAATCATGGCCACTTTGTGATTTGACACCTAAACTGATGTAAAACTTCCGAATGGTAACAAACGTTATTTGGCAGCTTCAGTCTTCAGACATAAACGACCGATGTTGTTAGAAACAACAGCATCTAACCATGTAATTCCACGCTCCATCTCACATCCACTCCCCTCCCCCTGCCCACCCGTGTGTGTGCGCGAGTGTCGGCGCAGATCGCTGGACGACTTGAAAGCCTTCTGGCAGCCGGGCGCCGTGCAGGAGTAGGGACGCTGGCCGGTGTGGGTGCGGCAGTGGGCAGACATGCTGTAGAAGCTGGTGAAGCTCCGGCCGCAGTCGGCCCAGCCACAGACGTGCGGCCGCTCGCCCGTGTGGGACATGTCGTGCGCCTGCCGGGCGGAGAGAGCGGGCAGAGGGTGTGTTAGAGGCTAAAGTTCGAACAAACCGCCCGGGTTGCGGCGGAGGAACGGCAGACGGCAAAGTTCGTGTGAGAAGTGCGATTATGCACATGCAAGATCAACAGCGAGATCATGAAATACACAGCTGAATACCACACAACGAGTGCATGGGATTGTCTCCATCTAAACTAGAAATCAAGGTCCAGCGAACGAACACCATTACATTACCAAAGCGTCCTTCAACTTTCCTAGAAAGAATGAAGGATGATAAATCGTGAAAAGACACCAGCAAAGCTAGCTACTAAATTGATACAGGCTTCATCGTTGGCGAGCCAATACAGGAAGATCACCGATGCTCACACTAACCTTCAGGGAGTACAGCGACAGAAAGACTTTCCCACAGTTTGGATAGTCGCAGGTGAAAACGGTGCGTTTCATCTTCTTGGCGCCTCTCGTCGACCCAGGCGAGAGACGTAGCGCCTTCATGACCTCAGTTCCAGCCGATCCGTCCTTGTTCATCATGTCTAGATTCACATGTGTACACAGAAAGGGCATGGTTGGCGATAAATGGTGTCGTGACAGCCATGAAACATTAGCACAATAACTTTTGAAACTGTGCTACGTTCTGCCGTAATATTGCGGATAAGGCTTCTGTCTCGTAGTCGACACTCAGTGGAATGAGTTCGAGACCGGAGGGTTACATGACAGCTACACGTTCGGCTAAAAGTATCACCGGCGAATCCGTCCCGAGCAAGATCGCTTGGTGGGTCCGTGCCAGTGGTGTCAGTTGCAACAAGCACTATTGAACTATTGCTTAGCATCATGAGTTGGATCACAGTCTTCCATTCATTCATTTGGGGAGTTTCTATGACAGAAAGATCAAGAAAAAGCAACAAAGACGATACTTAATCACTCATTATGACACCTTGTTGGTGAACTATCAATGATCAAAGCACTAAACTGTGCTCCAAAATATCATAAAGACTACCTAGTACCTACCCATTCTTTTCAAGGCTCTTCTAGTCAAAGTTACATCAGCGAGGTCACAAAGAGGCAAGGCCTTTTCTGAGTGACAGTTTTACTTTTTTATACCGATATTTATATTCTTAGTAGGAACTTGCCACAAGGGTCATAGACCATAGTTAAAGGTGCCTGTAAGACAGCAGCTATGTCAGTCGGGCGCACTGTGGTATCTCCGATTCATTTATGGAGACGTTTCTATTATTGGAAACGTTTCCAATTTTGACTACTCTTCTGTTCCAAAAATGGAAACGCTCGTTCCATAAATAGAAACGCTAACATCTCCGCACATATTTTCTTGCCAAGGGTGGCTGGATTCGATGTATAACAACTGTTTCACGTAAAACAAGCTCAGATACACCAAAAGCACTTGTCTTCTTGCATGGAAAGCTGTCGTATGCATTAAAATTCACGTCTTTAAAATGCTCCTGAATCGTATCCATTTATGGAGACTTAGTTTCCAAAAATGGAAACGCCGATGTTCCAAAAATAGAAACGCTGAAGTTCAAATGTGTGCAAACTTAGCTTAAATGTGTTTTTAAAATTCACATGCAACTAAAAATTTGATGTTTTGGGACTGGTTTAGCATCTCGGCTCTCGGCAGTTACCTTGGACGCCGGGTTCGATAATAATACCTTACGAGCCGCAACTTGAGCACATTCAAAAGTCAACTAAAACTAAGATTTCCCAGAAACTACTGGACAGATGTGGTCCAAAGTGGGCAATACATAAAGCGTAGATATCATTTCAATATATAAAATTAATATCCATGTTACACATGAGCTAGAATGAATAAATTCATCGTCAGAATGCAATGGTATTTGGTGTGACGACGGTGCAGACCTTATTTCCATCCTGCTTTTTACGTATTTGCACGGAGATTTACGTTGATCCGAGCCTACGATCATATTCAGCACATTTGAAATATCATAAAATGCCCACTTAAGTCTCCAAATAGGGCTTTGCAACAACTTTCATGCGATTTAATAAAAGATTGACGACCACCAGGCCGCTGGTACACCGGAAAACCCAAGGCCCTATATAGAAGGTATGCTCATTAGGCCAAAGCAGCGATTTCCGTGACGTCACAGGTACGAAGGGTCGGACGGCTGTAATGCAATCATATGGAAAATGACCCAACTTTAGGGCTCTCCCACATAGCTGCCAGACTCGATACTCGGGTAAAAATTATATCACATGAAAGCTCGAATCAAGACGAACAAGAAACCTATGTGACGTTTTTACGTATTACTAGCGGCTTAGACTCTATTCAAGTATATTCAGAGCTCTGCATTAGCTCACTTTTTCTGCCGTCAATGCCTCTACAAATGCCTAGTCGGCGCACGTGCGCTTGTCGAGCGGGGACCACCAGTCGGGCGATTCGGAGCTACCGCCCAATCAGAACGCCACAATGCCGTGACGTCATTGGTCGCACACGACACGTTACGGAGATAGGGATGAGACAGCCCTGCGGCAGGCCCATGTCGTCCCCTATCTCCCTGTGTGTCCAAGTGCACAGATGACGTCACACGAAGGGGCGGAGTCGGGGGCGGAGCCTGGCGCAACGGCCGCCATATTTGAATTTGTTTTATTAGAATGTATTCTATATTTTGTGTTTCAGTCAATTGTTATCGATAGCTTTATGAACGGTTAGCTGTAATATAAGTCATTTATCAAGAAACAACACATATTCTGCTTGCAATTTCGATTTAAAGGAAATAGTTCACTTTTTAACATGGGTTTTGAACTGGAATAGCAGTTCCGTAGCTTGGGCTGAGACGAGCATAAATCAGGAGCTTTTACAGCCCAACGATCACCCTAGGCAAAGATATTCTATTTCTCGTCCCAGGATGTGTGCCTTGCATATATTCGCATCCAGTATGCAAAGAGCATGGGTCCCGAAAATTCTTCAGAAACTAGTGAAATTATCTACGAGAACTCAAGAGAAATTCTCGTACTGATCAATAAGGACATTCAGCAGCAGCAGATCGCCCAAATGCCGGTGGCCGCGATAATTTCTCTAGTTTCTGAAGAATTTTCGGAACCCATGCTCTTTTCATACTGGATCGCCTGTGCCTTACAGAAACTGAAAAGTTCTTCTTATATCAAAATATAGAAAATAATCTTTTGTTATAAATAGGTTTTATTTTCTTTGCTGATCATTTTGAACATAAAAAATCATAAATCCATTGCAAAAAAAATAATTTCGTGAAAGTGAACTATTTCCTTTAAGTACGACCCGCGCCTAGATTCGAACACACGATCTTTGGATTACGGCGCAAGCATCCTAACCACTACACCACCGCGGCGGCGTGGCGGCCGGCGGAAGGGAGGCTGCGGAGGCATGGGGGCTTTTTACGCATTTTTGGAAAAAACTAATGGGTTTAGTGAAAAATGCTTCTTAGATAATTCGAAGAAAAATGTCTCGGCTTTCCGATGATGCACTTAGTTTTGTGCTAGCTGTAGCAGAGTTTGTTCTATAGCGCTTCAAAAATCGCCCATTTGCATAGGGGGACTTCAAGACTTGCCCCCAGATGACGTCACGAGCTGACGTCACGATCAGGTAGAATCGCCGGACGACCCTACCTGGTATATAGGGCCTTGCCCTGCGGAAAACCCAGCGTGATAATGAATGAAAAACTGAATTTCCCGGTGATGTGGTTGTTCCAGTCAATGGGTCAGTCTTTCAGTAGTCTGTTAAAAACGTTATTTTTTGTTCAAAACATTCATAGATGTTGATGAAATACTAGGACTTACTCCACAAGGAGATCGAATGGGTCGGAGCGCTTTCAATATGTATTATACATATCGTCGTCAGCGAATCAATAACGGGTCGAATCGAGTCGGGTATCGAAGAGGTTCGGGAGCTGCGCGGCAGAGCGATCACATACTATTCGAATTATGCATTAAAGAGAATAAAAAACACGTGAGAACAATCATGATACACTAGCTGCTAAAATGAATTAAAATGGGGTGCTAAAATGCATAAATGGCACGTATAAAAATACAATAAAGGGGGGGGGGAAACAGGATACCTATGGTGATAAAGACTGAGTAGAAAAGACTATACAAAAATGAGTGCAAAAACTGTACAAGGACGAGTACAAATATAAATACATACAAAGGCCGAACTAGACGTAAACACTACTGACAAAAACGGCGGATTATCGGCAGCCAGCGGTCATGCAGCAGGGCACCCGAGTTCCTGTTCACGTTTGCGTCATTCGGCGACACCAGGACGGCTTCACGCCGACCAACAGTCCGAATATAGGCCGATTCCAGGAGAAGTCGCATCTGGTGATGACTGGCTCGATTCAAGATCTTGATGGCATCGAAAGCAGGTGAGCAGTCTCTATGGGTACTGAAGGCCGATGTATTGGCTCTCGAGCGGACTGCTCCAGTCCAGCTCTCCCGGTGTTCTCGGAGTCTCGTGCCCAGCTCACGATCTGTCTCGCCGATATAGACCATTGGGTCACCGTCCACTTGGCAGGAGCACTCGATCCGATAGATGACGTTGCTCTGTTGTAGCTTAGGCAGATGGTGCTTAGCCTTGCTGCAGAGCAGCGAGCCGATGGTGACTGAAGGCTTGGAGACGAGCTGGATCCCGATCTTGCTGGCCTCCCGTTTGAGTTGGTAGAACAGGGGGCCGGCAAACGGAACAGAGACTCGGACAGGCGCCGGGTGTGAGTTCGCGCTAGGTGGCGCTGGTAGGGCCCTTGCCTTCAGTCTGAGATCGGTCCGAGTCTTCTGAATGGCCGAGTCGATGAATGATCGTGGGTAGCCATGATGATGAAACTTCTGGCGGATGAAGTCAAGCTCCTGCTGGCGGTCTCTCATGGACGAACAGTATCGGATCGCTCGAGTGCAGTCAGATCGAATGGCCGCTCTCAGGTAGCGGGTCTCGGTGTAGGAGCTGAAGGCAGGCACTTGGTTGGTGTTGCAGGACTTCCTGTAGACCTTGGTGCAGAACTTGTCGTCTCTTCTAGTGATGCAGATGTCAAGATACGGTAGCTGTCGGTTTACTTCCAAGTCAGTGGTGACATTGATGCTGGAGTCCTTGCTGTTCAGCTGGTTGACCCACGTGCTGAGGATGTCGTCACTGCCCTCGAACAAGACCAGGTAGTCGTCCGCGTATCGGCAGAAAGCATGGACCCTGCCACCACAGTTGGCCGCCAGGAGCTCCAGATCAGCCTCCCAGTGACCCATGTACAGGTCAGCGACCACCGGAGAGTAGCTTTTGCCCATGGCTAGGCCGGTAGTCTGCCTGAACCATCGCTCCTTGTCACCGTCTTGAATGACCGCATGGCAGTTCTGGATAGAGATGTTCAGCAGGTCAGCGACTGCGTCGGGCTTGAGACAAGTTACGTCGGAGAGGGCGTCTCTGTTGTCTCGCAGCTGAGTACGAATCAGTGAGATGGCTGTCTGAGTAGGTATTGACGGGAACATCGCCTCCACATCCAGGGAGACGAGACGGCAGCTGTTGACCGCATGCGTCATGTTCTGTAGCATCTCCAGGACTTGCAGTGGAGAGCTGATCGAGTGTGGAGGGCGTGGGAGGACTTTCAGACACTTCGTCAGATGCTTGGTCAACTCGTAATCTGCACCGCGGTGGGCTGGGCAGATTGGTCTCAGTTTCAAGTTGGAGATCCAGTTGAGTCTGTCGTCGTCGGTGCTGGGAGGTGATGAGTATTTGTGAGTTTTCACAAGTCCATAGAACGGACCGCTGCGGCCATGGGTCTTGGAGAGGCGGCGATAGAGTTGGTAGCCTTCTGGGTTGTTCTCCTTCAGCATGGTGTCACGTCGCCTTCCACGAACAGCAGGTCCGGCCAATGCTGTGAGCAGGTGCTCGTTAAACCTGCCAGCAAAGGCTTCCGCTGGATCACTGGTTACCTCCTCGTAGACCGGTGACTGGAGTGAACGTAGAAGGGCTGCTGTGTAGTCAGACTTGCTTATCACCACCAGAGCCTTGGCCTTGTCTGCTGGAACAATCACCTTGGAGTCATCTCTGGTAAGTGACTTCAAAGACTCGGTCAGTTGTTTAGGCGGCTTAGGCTGTGGTTGGTTGTTGGCCCGTGTCAGTATCTTCTCAGCCTTGTTGAGGAAGGCGGTGATGTCATCGCCGGTCACACCTTGCTGGTCGGCTTGCTTGATGGCGATGTCGGAGACCATCTGGCTTTTCAACGCCAGCTCCAGAACAGGGGGCCTTGCTGGAGCTATGGAAAACTTGGACCCAAGTTGAAGTGCATGAGTCTCTTCTCTAGAGAGTGGCTGGTTAGTGAGATTGATGACCGTCACATCCGTTGTTGCTGACCGTCTAGGATGTGTACCGGAGAAGGTCAGTCCCCCGTTCTCTCTCAGTAGAGCATGAAACTTCTTGGCCTTCACTGATTCACATTTTCTCAGTTCATGTCTGAGATGTTATTATTTTTGAGATGTTATTCATAGATGTTATTATTTTCCATTAGAAAAACGTGTGAATTTTTTATCACGTCAACATGTTATAAGCATCGCCTCGTTCGTCAACTTTCGGTTTTCTGATCGGAAAGTCGGAGAACAGGAACATAAACTAGAATGCTGGCTGTCGATTGGTGGCATCCTGCGCATGCCAAATTGCACCAATCAATGCCCAGTTTGCTTTAAAGGTAGCGATGCACACAGCGTCTCCATTTATGGAACAGATCGTTTCTATTTTTGGAAACGGCGTATCCATTTTTGGAACAATGTTCCAAAAATGGAAACGTTTCCATAAATGGATCGGAAATACCACAGTGTGCCCGACTGATGTTAAGTCCAGAACTCACTGTCTTTTATGCTGTTCTCTGAAACTGAAGTGTTGGTTGAGCTTTCTTCAACCAGATCTTGAATACTACCAGTACTGCCATCCATTGTAACTGGAAACAGAGATTTCTTATTTCAGAATTCCCTCAAACAGCTTAAATATCCAGCCAACACTTGGAAACGTGTAGCTGTGGAAGCAACATGATTGTGCAGGGTGTGCATTTTGTGAGTGGATTTCCAGTCTCTCCTTGACCAATGT